CTCTCCCGTTGCGGAGCACAGGCTCCGGACGCACAGGCTCAGTGGCCATGGCTCACGGGCCCAGCCGCTCCGCGGCATGTGGGATCTTCCCGGACCGGGGCACGAACCCGTGTCCCCTGCATCGGTAGGCAGACTCTCAACCACTGCACCACCAGGGAAGCCCTATAGCTGTTCTTTGAAGAAAAAAGGTGCCTTAGACATTTAAGGATCTTTTGCTCATTTGATGGATTGTTGGGCAGTGGGTAAGAATTCCTGATGCTTTCTTATACACCTAGGGAGACTTTTATAGGTGAACAAAGTATCTGATCAAGGCATTTGTAAATGTTTAGACCCAAAACACCTACTGTTAGTTTATGGGTGTTAGTTTATGGGTGTTAGTTTATGTGTGTTAGTTTATGTGGTATTCATTCTGTTACATCCTTAAGAAATATGGGTTCATATTTGTTATCAATTTTATATGTATATATATGTACAGACACACACACATAAATCAATATGATTTTAATAGATATCTAATCTGTCTTTATTCTTTTCATATCTTGTATAGTACTGTATGAAATCTCCTTCCTAATTTTTTCCCTCCAAGTCTATCAGGTTACCCATTAAAATACAGTAAAATGAATTCCAGAAATTGGTTTTTTCCCTATTAGCGGCTTTATATATTTGATGCTATCTAAAATATTCTCTTTTCTTAGCTCTCCACTCCCTTTACCGCTTGTTGTATAGGAAACATTTAACTAGCTTCTAAATCTAGGATAGTGTAGGGGCCAAGAGGTATGATTGCAGACTGGGATTCAAATCTCATATCTCTTTCTGATAACTTGTAAGGTTTGAGAAACACATTAGGAAACCTGGGGTAAGGGTAAATACATACTTACTAGTGTATTTGTCAAGTATTCTTTGAGTTCTTACAGGTCACTGCTATGATGACATCACTTTGTGACTATATCGATGACTCCTTGTGTGTATATATAGGTTTGTCTTTTTGTTTATATGTATGGCCTAATGTGTTCATTCATTTTTGGGGAAGAATGTTTTGAGTGAATTTGCTCATGTAATTTGTCCATTTTTATACTGAAAATTAAATTTTTAAAATAACTTATTAATTTATAGTAATAAGTGTAAGGCATGTCTATTTTTAAAATTTAAGCATAAAGAGGCATATAAAATAAAAAGTCAGGTCTTCCCTTCATGTCCTGAAGTTCCTTACCTAAATCCCACTCCTTAAGGGAAATAACTAGTAGCAGTTTGCTCTATCTATTCTACCAGACTTTTTTCTATGACAAAGTAAAGTTTTAATTTTGACATTGGCTTATTTGCTCAGTTTCTCAGGTAGGACAAGTCTATGTAAAAAAGTTCTTAGACCTGTCTGGAACATTTAAAAAACTGAAATAAAAAACAAAATTCTTAACTTCTGAAAAAGTACACATAAATATGTGCTTTTATTGTCCATCATTTTGTTATACCAGAATCTGGAAATAATAGATTTGCAGAGATCTGCCTTCTTTAAGGAACATTTTTACATCATAATTTACTGTAGTCATCACTTCTGGTTGGTGGAATAAAAATAAAATAATTTCCAGTGAGCTCAGTTTGAAAAGACATTTGTACATTACTGTTGTGACTTCATTAGTTTTATTTACTTGTCTTTATTATTTATTTATTTATTTTTGTCTGCATTGGGTCTTCATTGCTGTGCGCAGGCTTTCTCTAGTTGCAGAGAGCAGGGGCTACTCTTGGTTGTGTGCACAAGCTTCTCACTGAGGTGGCTTCTCTTGTTGTGGAGCACGGGCTTAAATAGTTGTGGCACGTGGGCTCAGTAATTGTGGCACATGGGTTTAGTTGCTCTGCGGCATGTGGGACCTTTCCGGACCAGGGCTTGAACCCGTGTCCCCTGCATTGACAGGCAGATTCTTAACCACTGTGCCACCAGGGAAGTCCTTCTTGTCTTTAAAAAGTAGGATTGGGGCTTCCCTGGTGGTACAGTGGTTGAGAGTCCGCCTGCCGATGCAGGGGGCACAGGTTCGTGCCCCGGTCCAGAAAGATCCCACATGCCGCGGAGCGGCTAGGCCCGTGAGCTATGGCCGCTGAGCCTGCACGTCCAGAGCCTGTGCTCCGCAACAGGAGAGGCCACAACAGTGATAGGCCCGCGTATCGCAAAAATAAATAAATAAATAATAAAAATTAAAAGTAGGATTGTCTGGGGACTTCCCTGGCAGTCCAGTGGTAGGACTCGGCGTTTTCACTGCCATGGCCAGGGGTTCAATCCCTGGTCAGGGAACTAAGATCGTTTAAGCCCTGCGATGTGGCAAGAAAGAAAAGTAGGATTGTTTTATTTTGAAACATATTTGTATACTTTATCAGGGAAGTTGTTAACTGAGGAGCCCAGGACAATTATAGTTTTCTTATTCTTTTTTGGCTGTTGTAAATATAGGCATACAATCAGCAAATATATAATGCCTGATAAAGGCACATTCTTTCTCAGGATGTAGTGTTGAATATCCTTTCCTTTCTTTGGAATTAAAATAGTCACAGAAGGGGGAAAATGTGGATTTCAAAGAGAGATTCTGCAAAATTATGGTACATAAAAAAAACACATCTATTTTAATGGCCTTCAATTATTCTTTGTTCTTAAAAAAAGATCAGAGTTCTAGGGTCTCAACACTTCCTTCAACTCTTGAAAGAGTTGCTTCAGTAGAGAGATTTGAGTATAGGTGAGATTGAAAGAGGAAGTGTTTGGGACTAAAGGAATTTCAGACTTGTAAAGAACCTAACCACGCCTTCCCTGACATCATCTTCCTGGCATGTGTTATTATAAGTTAACTCCTCAGAGCATCAGCAACCATTCCCTTTGGAAAAAAAGAAAAGGGACTGTGTTTAACTTGGGATAATTTGCCTTCCCCAACCTATTTTGCATAAATTTCTATTTCTTCTTGATTTTAACATATTGAAGACCATATTGGGGCTGGGGGTTGTGGGGAGTGGAGGCAATGATGAGAGTAGAACTGACTGGTAGGCACTGCCAGACTTTCACTCTTTAAGAAGTTTGAGTTACCTGAAATTTTTGGAAGAGTTTACTCAGGAGAGAAGAAAGTAGGAAGCAATACTAGAATTGTTTATACTTCTAACAGGGAGAGAGAATTTTTCTGTGTTTACTACATTTTCATCTAGTTTCCATCAAATCAAATTTAGTAGAACTTTTAAAGTCTAACATCTCTTGACTGGGGGCAGCTAATAGTTCTGTTATCAGTAATAAAGTTAACTCAGTTGGTTAAAGTTTAGTAGTAATGACTTTCCATTGATTCCTCCTTTTTTGTTTTTTTAGCTCTACTACACTAACTTATGCCCTCATTACCACAGCAGTAAACATTCCGCATGATCTCCTTGTCTCCTATTTCTCCACTCCCTACCCCTTGACTCCAAGTAATTTTATACCTGCTACCAGAATAATCTTCCAACATTCCAGCAGTTTAGTGCTGAGCATTTCTTATATACAAACCTTTAATGGCTATGTATTACCTGCTAAACAAAGTCCAAATCCTTAGCCCAATACCCACTGTTTATTCAGCCTTTCCTTATCTTCCCACCTCTCCTGTATGATTTCATCACATTGACTCTGCTCTAGCCAGTTGTGTTACCTGCAGTTCTCTGGATATAACCTTTGGTTGTCGGTTTACGTTTCTCATCCCATAAGAAAATATGCTGTATAATAAAACAGAAAAATATAGAAAAGAACAGGACAAAATAAAATATAGATTAGAATAGGAAGTCAGGGACTTCCCTGGTGGTCCAGTGGTTAAGACTCTGTGCTTCCAATGCAGGGGACGTGGGTTCGATCCCTGATCGGGGAACTAAGATCCCACGTTCCACGCAGTACGGCCAAAAAAAAAAAAAAGTCAGCT